AATAATTTAGACATAAGAATTGTATGGTCAACGGTATCAAAAGCCTTTTTTAGGTCGAGAAAAACAACTGCATTTATACTGCCTTTATCAATGTTGAAGGCCCAATTGTTTGTGGCCTCCAACAAGGCAGTAACAGTTGAATGGAGCGAACGAAAACCAGATTGCTGGCTGGAAATCAAATTGTTTTCAGTGAGATAACCGTAAACCTGGTCGTAAATGATACGCTCAAACACCTTAGCTACTATAGGGACGATAGAAATTGGGCGATAATTGTTTAAGTCGGAGTGATCTCCCTCTTTGAAAAGTGGGATAACCTTTGCGCATTTCCATTCCTGAGGGAAAACACCTGATCTGATGGACTGATTAAAAATAGAACACAATGGATCAGCTATCAGATCGGCGCACTCCCTAAGAAGTCGCGAAGATATCATATCTAAGCCTGTGGCTTTCGATTTACAAAGCTTAGACAAAAGTGAGAACACTTTAGAAGGATTAATACATTTTAACTCAAAACGTTTGTCAGTTCCCTCAAGGTAATGTAGGTGTGATGGACCATTATTAGAATAAATCTGGCTAGCAAGCTTGGGTCCAATAGAAGAAAAGTGATTGTTGAAGGCATCGGCCAGCTCAGGAGGGCCGTAAATAGAGTTACCGTTGCTTTTGATTTCTTTTATGGAACAATTATTAGTTTTCCTCGACATGAGCTCATTTACAATCCTCCATGTCTGGCGCGAATTGCCTTCGTTTTCATCTAATGCTCTTTTATAATAGAGCTCTTTTGCTTTTTTGATTTCGTTATTAACTAGGTTGCGACATTTTTTAAATTGTAGCCAGTCATTAGCATCCTTAGAACGCGATGCTTTCAATTTAAGAATATCTCTGTCATGCATTCGTTTCTTTAAGTATTATTATTATCCCTTATTATGCCATTTTATCATATTAGGGCATCGGAACGCACAAGCTAAGATAGGATTTACATTGCAGAACTGGGCAAAAATAAAGACGGAAAACGAAGCAACAAAATGTCCGCTCTAAACGATCCAAACTTTCTTTGCTTTTTCTTTTTCTCTTTTTTTTAAGCTTTGCTTTTTAAACAACGAACCTTTAGGGAATGTATGAAAACGACCTTCGCAGTAATGAACCCTTCTTATGTATCAGTGGAAATAAGGCCTTTAAAAAATTCAGGTCTGTACGGGATTCAAACCCACGACCTCTGCAATACCGGTGCAGTGCTCTACCAGCTGAGCTAACAAGTCAACTGGGAGCTGGTCATTATGTTGGTTCGTATTTAACCCGTGGGGAGTTACAGCTTTTTTGCTGGCCATAAAAACGCTACGTTAAGGTTTCTTTTGTGTTGTTTTTGTCTTTCCCGCGCGCTTTATCGATACGAAGTTCAGAATAGCTGTAAGATGTATGTCGAAAACTAGAGGTCAAATCTTGGCGGGGCTCGTATTATTATATGACTTATATCATTCCCGCGTATTGTAAGTTTTGATCCATTGGCATGGAGGACAGACTATAGATAAAGTCACTATAAACAATATTTTGCTTCTTTATCATATGACAAATACAAATTGATTCCATATTACCGTCGGTCTGTTCCGTAATACATCACAGCAGACATCAAACTGTGGCAAGAACCAAGTTAGCGACACACTCTTAGCACACATCCTGACATCCGGGAATGTAGGCGTCTTGAAGGCTGTTTTGACATTTTTGCAATTGTCAGTCTTAAAAGGAATAAGCTAAAGTTAGAAAAGATTTCAGCCCTTAAAAAAGTACGTCACCGGCAGAACAGCGTTTACAGCGAACGCAGTTCGACGAGGCTGTATCTTGCGTGAAAAATATTGAGTAACCACAGGACTGCTTAATCATTCATAATATTTACGCATCGTGTTCTTTTCTGCACGGCGCTCCATGCGGCATTTTAAACACCAACCGCCTTCAATATCCTAGTTCGGTTGTCTGTAAGCTTAAAATCCTCGTCATCAAAGTGTTCAGACCCACTTTGGTACCATATGTTACTCTTAATTCTTTATTTTGATCTTAGTCTATTCTAAAAGTCCATATCTGTTTCAAAAGATATTGAAAACAACCATGCATGAGACGAAACGAGACGAGAAGAAATTATTATTCTGACAGTTTACTCATGCAGATTAAAACGCAAGTTCGTGCAAGCAGAATTTGAAAAAAATTAAGATGGATACTTAACTTCTGAAGCTTAGAATAAATAGGACATTTGTAAAAGAAAAATCCAAATATTTGTAGATTATTGTAGCAATAACCGACACAACGTAAATGGACTATTCTCCACGCTTCGCACATGGTTTATTTGTTTTATTTATTATGACCAATGTGATGACGTATGAAAATAAATCAAAATTAGAAAATTAAACGAGACTTACCTGTAAGTTGAAGTTTGATTGGAATTCTATGAGTCACCTACTGCGACAAGGGATCATATGAGCATGGGATACCTTGTAGCAGTGGTGACGAAATAGAAGTTCAATTATTCAAGTTTGATTTCAAGACTGCACATGGGTATTATTGATAGCATCCGTCAAAGTCTAAATAACAAGTTAGAAGGCAAACCGAAGATGAATAAAATCAGCGTTCTTTTTCGAGCAAAGGGTCTCGCCAGTTTCAGTTGTTATCGTTGCACGTTGTGATGCAGATGAAAAAGGAAAACTTGTTTACAAATTATGCATGGATCATTGAGCGTCCAAAGTACACCTTACTAGTTTAGCTAACCACACTCCTGGCGTGATATGTGGCGTGATATTACGTCATTTTTTTCATCGGGGTTTTCGACCTATGGGCGAAGGAGAATTTCAAAATAGGTAGGAAAAGAGAATCGAACCTTGTAATTAATATAATGTAGAACCTTCTGCACTAATATTGTCTGTCAGTTCAACCAAGAGATGTCTCAAACTGCTCTGGCACGAATTTGAAAACAACGCGGGAAGGAACCGACGGAGGCTGGAAGAAAATAACCAGGATTCCGGTCCCTTTAACTGCAAAAACAGTAAGTAAGGAGAAATATTTCTTTCAGTTCTCATTAAATAATTGTCCAATATAGTGAAGGACACATGGATCATGTAAACATGCAATGTGACTATCTTTCTAAACTTTTAAAATGGTCATTTTTATGTACCCTTCCGATCGAAAGAGGCCTTTTGGAGCTCAAAATGTTTTAAGCAATTATGCTGGAGCATACTTCCTTCCAAAACCGATAGACATCAAAGAGATATCACAAGCTGGCGAAATTTTCGTGTAGTTCAGACAAGCGTTGTTAATATTGTTCTTGAATGAACATCTTATGAAATTTAACATAAACAACAACAACAATTTAACATTTATTTAGGGCAAACTACTATATAGATAATCAGTCGCGCTTTACAATCAGTTAAGGTGAGATCGCACGCCAGAATTCATCAGGCGCACTATGCAGCCACTTCAGTCCATGTATTGATCTCACCTTCCCTCCCCAATTCACCGTAGATTAGACACTACACATAGATAGACCACAACACCTGGCACTACGTGCCCTACTCTTTTCGAAGAGAGTGTGGGTTCTTTAACGTCCCACAATTTTTATCACATATAAGGGCTTGTGAGACGGGACCTCCATTTATCGTCCCTATCCGAGAAGACTAGAAAGTCTAACCATTTGCATATATTATTACAAAGACAGCACTTTCTTCTCAGTTATTTAAAGACCCTGAGTGTTGGTCCGGCCGGAGTCGAACTCTCGACCTCCCGCACAACAGTCCAGCGCTATCCCGATTGAGCTAACCGGGAGGCGGTTAAAACATAGATTGCCAATGCGTAATAAGAGATTTTCCTTTTCTTTTATGTAGAACTCTTCACAGACTCTTTCGAACAAAAAAGAATTATTCCTAGTTGGATTTTAGAGGTTCCTTTATCAGCTGTTTTTTGAGCGTTCAATACAAATGGCGGACAATACAAAGAGGCCGGTTGGACTCAGTAAAGAGTGACCGCTTAAAAAAGGTAAAAATTAAGAGGAGTAAGGGGGAATAGGGGAAACAAATTCGCCAAAACTGCTTATTACCGTTCGACAGTACGAAACTTCAGTACACACTGAAGTAAATTTGGAGTAGCAATAACATAAAACCAGTTTAATTGAAAATAAAACCTTTGTCCCAACTTCATACTTGAATTTGTGGATAAAGTGGCTACGAATCGTCTTAATAATGTGATGGGTCCTCACCGACATAACCTATGCTTCTCCACTGAGGCTTTTTTGTAAGACTCAAAACCCTTCTGTGGTTGCGATCCTAGTTGGTGTAGAGTGATTTCCAACTGAATGCCAAGAGAAACACACGATTACGTCGGTTTTAGTTTTCCTTCTCTCTTTAAAAGGTTCGTATGGATTTGATATTAGCAAACAATGGCAAAACGTTAAATTACCTTCAGGATTACGGTTTTGTTTAGGTATAGTATGGATTTTACTGAAACCATTCCTTATAGAATCTCAGGTCCGTATGTTTACTAAAGTACAATACAATTAACGATTTTGGTGACTGTTTTTCACTATTGTTTTGACATTTTGTAATTTTTCTGCTTTTGCTTTAGTTCCGTTAAATTCATCATTCGTTTTTTTTAAAAAGCCGTTCGTTTTACTCAAGCGTGACATTTGTTTCCAGTTTGTTCTTCGTGTTTTTATCAGGCGTGACGTACGTACAATAAGGACTGGGTCGAGCGCGAACTGTGGGAAAAGTGTGTCTAGCAAGGATGTCTGATCCATCTGCGAAAGAATTTTTACTTTCTGACACATCAAACATGCGCGCCATTTCCACTGCTTTAAACCCATATTCACTCAAGTATGATAACTGGCTTTCGGTAATGATAAGCTTTGGCCTACCAGGTCTACCAGACGAGGCTCTTTGCTCAGCTTGTGCATGAATGAGTGCTTTGCAGGGAGTCTTTTTTTCCCCATGGATATTACGTCTCTTTACACTGTCATCCCTAATGGCGAAGGCCTTCTGGCCCTTACTCATTTTTTTGATCAACGTACTGACAAGGAACCTAAATCTGAAACACTACTACGCCTAGCCGAACTAGTGCTCACACTCAATTGTTTTTCATTCGGAAACAACTTCTTCAAACAAACCAGTGGTGTAGCCATGGGCACCAAAATGAGACCTAGCTATGCCAATCTTTTTGTAGGTTTTGTCGAACATCAATTTTTCAGCCAATACAACGGGTCCAAACCTGAACTCTACGGTCGCTACATCGACGACTGTATCGGCGCTACCTCCTCTACCAGAGAGGAGCTCACTCAATTCATAACCGCAGTCAATTCTTTTCACCCGGCTCTGAAATATACCTGGGAAATTTCTGACAATTCTTTATCCTTTTTAGACATCAAAGTTTCAATTGAAGGTAACGGTTTATGCACTAGTGTGTATTACAAACCTACAGACTCGCATAATTACTTGTTATATTCGTCTTCGCATCCATCTCACGTTAAGAATTCCATTCCTTTTTCTCAGTTTCTAAGACTTCGTCGTTTATGTAGTGATGACTCTGATTTCCACCACAAATCAGAGTCAATGTGCCAGTT